ACAATTTCGCAGTTCAGACGGATAAGCAAGGCCCTTGGGTTATAGTTGGAGATAAGAGCTTCTTTGTGAATACATATTATAAGGTAAGTTACAAGAATTATAATTGCAACAAATTGGTTCGAAAAATTCCATTTTTTTTCTTCCAAAAATCATTATGTGCGTCACAAACTCAAACCTACTAACGCTGCAATTTTCGTATAATATACTCGAAGGCTAATTGGTACAATGCAGCAATGTACTGTGCAGCTAGCAACATGGAATTGGCCACTATTTCGTCGAAAGAGGAGGACGACGCCCTTGTAGCATACATGAAACGAAATGGTAGGGTGGGAGTGTTTGTTTATATTTCAAGTGCCCTCAGGAAAACTAACGAACAGTTGATTCCCATAAGCCATTTTTATTTTAATTATTGTGCTTTTAACCGTTCAATTCAGGCTATGAAAAGGAGCCACTTTGGGTGTTTGGTACGGACTTAGGTCATGAAAAACGCAACGAGGCACCGAATGCAGCACATTTCTCTTGGATGTCAACCGGAAAACCACTCGGTTACAGTAACTGGTTACCAAATGAACCTAATCATAGTGGAGCAAAGATGGAACATTGTCTGGAGATAAATTTTCTTCAAGGCAAATGGAATGACAATGAATGCAATACGGGCTCTAGATATTTTGTATGCCAATTTCAAAAATCTTGAACAAATTATGGTATGATGCACATCATACAAGAAAATATTACGATGACCAATCAAATGAATGTTTTGCAATCAAATGATATGTAAATTTAAAATGAGAAATACATTGCTTTGCTACATTTTCTTCACTGAATATCTTTATCAATCTGTGACCATATTTTAAAAATTCGTTGCCACTGTCGTAGATACAGTCATGGACAAAATAGAGTAAACGATTCGTTGCATATTTGAATAAATGTAGAATATTCTCAGAAACAGAAAAAGTAAGAATGCAGCTTGATACACAAGTATGTTTTGATTCAAAACGATGTACATGTTTTGCTTCACCAAAATCTTGTTTGGGAAATGGCGATAGTCAATTTTTTTTCCAGTATGTATATATGTCACTTTGATCATTTTTAACACAAACGAATATTTCTTGGACCAATTGCATTGATGCATAGTGAACAGCAATTGAAAGTTACCAAAGGTAAAACTTGAAAGCCAGACCACAAATATGCTGCTCAACAATGCAGTTGAAAAGCAGTCGCCAGGGCAGTTGCTGCCCAGCAATTCTATGGTTTCATTTAGAGAACACATTTTTCACGTGTATTGGTTATTAATTTCATAATAGTTCAATGCAATTTTAAATCAATTTGACCACCACCTTCCACACAGGTCTCTATCTTCACCACCCCAGTTCCAAAACAGGTTCGAAAATCCGTTTATTTTTTTCGAATTGCCCCGTTGTATAGGCAATAATACCACCGTAGCCAGCCTATACATTTCAACAGTAAGACAATAATAAATGAGAAAATATGATGCCAATAAACCCACCGATGAACAACTCACTTAATTCCGAATTTATCAACGCCGACCGCCATGTGGCGTTACAGCAAGAAAAACAGAATTATATTGAGTCTGCCAGATTGCAATTACGCCAAAATATTTTATCGCTACCAAAGTTCTGTAAAATTAAATAATTCGAAAAGGATACGGATTAAAATAGAATTTGAAATTGACACTCTTATGCATGATCGTTTATGAATAACAAGTTTTAAAACATGACATTTATACTGATGGACAGAATGAAAAAAAAAAACAGAGATAATGACACAGAAACTGACATTCCAAGCTGTTTGTACAGAGTTCATTGTTCTCTTTCATTCAAAATTCACACAGGGCAACTCAAAGTCACTATTGATGCCTCGATTGATTAAAAAATTACGCTCGGTAGCTTTTTGTAACGATAGCATACCCATGATTTTTAGTGTGACTTTTTGTTCCTTCGCACAATTCAATGGTCGCAAACGAAATATAAATAAGAATTTCCCAATTCAACATGGTTGAGAAGAACAGCTGTTCAATACTAAATCCGAATACGACGATGGTACAGAATATTCGAAATGTGTTTAAGCTAAAACCTTTGAAGTTCTAGTGAACTTTTGAGAAACAGAATTAATGACGTTTGAAACCTGAAGTACCTGTTCTATATTCGATTACTGAATTAAAAGCTGTTTTGAGTGAATTTATGATATTTTTCAGAATTTTATCATATAAAATGAAATTTATTGATTTTAATTTCATTATAAACATTTGTTTCTAAAGTATGTTTTCAGTAGGTATTCAATAATGGCTATACTCATATTTTGAACAATTGTAGACCGCCTGTCACAGACGATGGAAAATTCAATACACATTTTTGCGCTGAAATCCATTTGACATGTTTAGGACTAAACGGGGCTAGTTGACATACGTCGGAAACCGACGCAGTCGACTTTTCTTGAAAACGCCAACACTATATGTCAAGTGTGAACTATTGAAATTTTC